GCTGAGGAATGCCAAACACAATCCCAATCAAAGACCGTGCACAACAAATTATCCAAATACTCACAGGGTAATGCTTGCTCTCCCCATCCCCAGCGTGTGCAGGCTGGAATTCAGGGCTACAGCTGCCTGGAGAGCACTCTGGCACAGATCCTCCTCCCATCCCTCCCTCTCCCTAGCGCTGGCTCCATCCTGCTGCTCCCCACGTCAGGGTGATGTTACAGGTGACACCTCCCGCTGCTGATGTCAAGCTCTGTTCCCAAAAAATCACAAGCACCGTCTCCCTGCGGCACCCGTTGCCCCTGCAAGCATCACCTGCGTGTCCTCAGGGTGCCAGGAAGCAGGCTCCAGGAGGATTCCAGAGAAGCTTATGGACACACAGCCTTCCCTCTTCATCAAGTCTCCCAGTGTTACAGAGCTGCTTTCATTCCTACCAGAACGCTGCAGCAAATGTAGCCTCTACGCCTCCCTTGGGGGGAAAAGGAAGGATTTTTACAGCTTCTTTCTGTGGCGCAGCTTAATTTGCTCTTTTCCTAGAGTATAAACTGCTGAAAGAAGAGGGAAATAATGGATCAGGAGACCAGAGCGACTAACTCATGGATGCTCTCCCGAACATTTCAGAGTAAGCTGAGGGGTTGGTGATGCAGCCGAGGAGCAGAGCTGATGAATGGTGCAGTGCTGCTGTTGTCATGGCAACTAAGAGGAAAAGGAAAAAAAAGGCAGCACCATATAAGGAGCTGTGACATGGATTCTGGGAACAATGTATACTCAAAGGCTGTAAGCCCTAGGATGCTTTAAAGCTGCAGCACCCCCTTGGTTGAGGACAGGTTTCATTGTTCACATTGAAGCAGTCGGCACAAATTTTGCATCCAGCCCAGACACGTTTGCAACAGGAGAGGTGCACCAAAACAACGTGGCTCTGCAGTGTGTGCAAATAACTGGAATTGAAATAATTGAAATTATTAATTAAGGGAAATGGCTGGACACTAGTAAGGACTCAAACTAACATCTGTGAAAACAGAGCACCCCCAGGTAGGTGCAGCCCCACACAGGTGAGGAGCTCTGTCCTTACAGAGCAAGGCTGAGATGAGCCAAACTGCAGCACCATCAGGTGGCTGAGTGTCTGAGCGGCACTGACACCAACACAGATCCTGCCAGGCCTCCCAGAGACAGAAGAACATTCCCAAATGAACCCATAACTCAGGCACCGCTGGGCAAGGCAAGGCTGGCAGAGCCCTCGAAGCATATTGAGGTATGGCAGAGCAGGGAAAGCCAGCTCATACACACCTGCCATCACAAGCTGTGAGCAAGGCCAAGGTTTGTATTCCATGTGCAAAGCTGGGGAAAAACACATTCTTTACCAGAACCATCATCAGCTGCTTTTCATTTAATGCATGTGCTCAAACAGACAATACACAGCGAGGGAGAGACTGGCCACTGGCACACCCACAACCACAACACTCCAGCGCTGGAGCCTGGACTCAGCACCTGGAACTTCAACAAGCAGAAATCCTTCCTTTGATGGTTTATTTTATTTTCAAACAGAGAATCTCAGAACGGCCTGGGTTGGAAGGGACATTAAAGATCAGTTGCCATTGCCATGTCCCTGGGCAGGGACACCTCCCACTATCCCAGGTTGCTCCAAGATCTGTCCAGCCTTGGACACTTCCAGGGATCCAGGGGCAGCCACAGCTGCTCTGGGCACCCTGTGCCAGGGCCTCACCATGCTCACATCACAGAATCATTATTATGGCTGGAAAAGACCTTGAAGATGATCAAATCCAACCATCAACCTTGCAACACAATCACATTCCACACTAAATCACATAGTCAAGTGCCAGAGCCACACATTTTTTGAGCATTTCCAGGAGTAGTGACTTCACCACTTCCCACGTGTGCCTGCACTGACAGCTTCCCCCCAGCACTCCCACCCCTGAGGCTGTGCCTCACCATCTCTCAGCTCCCACCCAGCTGAGCTGGTACAACAATCTGGAGAGAACAAGGGATCCTGGGGCCTGCCATTGTTAATCTGGGCTTATCACCACTAAAGAAGAAACAATAAAGTTTTCAAGTAGAGAGATCTGAGCTTTTTAGTCCCACAATTACAGTTAACATCAAAAAATATTGAACCATTTGAGAAGGGAGATGTGACACTCCTCGTGGCTACTCCCAAGAGATGCAAAGGTATCCCACGAGGGATGGGGAGAAGACAAGACCCCAGCACTACAAATGACACGGCTGATGGTGGCACAGGGAATGTTGTATGCGAGGTCCCCAGCCCAGATGGACCTGGAGGGTGTGGAGAACCACAGCAGTGGGTCCTTGCTGGCATCAGTGGGAAGAGCAAGTCTCCATCCTGCTCAGCCCTGCTCTCACCATCTCTGAAGGATCTAGTGAAAAAATAGACATTTTCTTTAAGAAAGAGGCTGCTATTAACTGCCTGAACCCACTGATTTATAGGAATATTCGTACTGATTTATATTAATTTTATTCTTAGGGAAAGTTGCCACATTCCCCAAACACAAGGGAGGAACACTCTCAAAGAGAGGATCTGCAATGAAACCAATTTCCCAAGACCATGTCTTTGAAGACACTGAGGCAGCTAATTCACACCGGATAAAGCAGGAATCAGGTCTCTGAAAATCTAAACCAAAACATCTAGGGCAAGTTTTTGTTAGAAAAACCACGATTTTTTTCCTAAATTTCTTGCTAATATTCTCCCCTCCTCACTCTCTGCACAGGCACTCACACACGTGCTCTTTCTAAGAGAATCCTGATGCTTGCAATCTGTCATTCAATACAAAAAATAGCAATAGCCAAGTACAGTGATGAATAAAATTATCCCTGTGCATATAAATGTACAATATGTAAATGAACACTCCTTCCTGAGGAGGAGGAGTGGAATGCAGCACAGGGCTTTGTGCAAACCCTCTGCACATGGTGGATTCCACAGGAGTGGAATAAAACATGAGCTGAGTCTTTCAGCCCAGTATCTCCTCTATTAACCTAATGCACGTATTTTCTGGCACCAATTCCCAAAAGCACTTACATACATTCATCCCTAAACACCCTCCTGGAAAGCACTGCTGTCCTCAAGGCAGGTATACAGAGCACCTGCATTATTTTCATCACAGTTATGGCTTTGAGTCAGCAATAACACACCCTTGATGTACAGTCGAATATTTAAGCCCATTGTTTCAACAGCAGTTGCTCTTTGTGCCACAAGCACGGTAACTTTTAAGTGCTAATTTTATTGCAGACACAAACCAAAATGGTGACTTACATCACTTATCCTAGGCTGGGAGGGTGGGGAGCTTTCTTTATCTTTATTATTCATTTTTCACATTATTTTTGTTAATAAAGCCACTATCACAAAAAAATTAAATAACACAAACTGAGGCTGACCATGCTGATTTAAGTATGTTTTCAGCCAGTGCTAAACAAAAGGTGACACAGGCAGGAGGGGGAGAGCTGATTACTTATGCTGACTATTACTTCACCCCTTAGAGCAACAATGATCCTAGTTTTTGTTTTTCTTAATCACCAGATTATTCAGCAGAGTGGAAATTGCACCCACATGGAATCTTTATCACCCTCTGAATCCAGCCAAGCCTTCATACCCAGCAAACCTAGATACCAACATGAATGATCTTAGCTCCTCTGGGTAGAAAATTCTCATTCTGTGGAATGTGTTCCTAAGGGTTTTTACCAAAGATGGACGTTTCAACTTTTCTGTGGATGAAAAGCTGCCTTGGTTACAAATCAACAGATTAAGAACTTTAAAAGATTATACTCTCATGGACTTATTTTGAATGATTTGGGTTGAAAAGGACACTAAAGCCCACTCCCTGCCACAGACAGGGACACCTGCCACTGTCCCAGGCTGCTCCAAGCCCCATCCAACCTGGCCCTGGACACTTCCAGGGATGCAGGGGCAGCCACTGCTGCTCTGGGCACCTGTGCCAGGGCTGCCCAACCTCACAGCCAGGAATTTCTTCTGCATATCTAACCTAAACCTCCCCTCTTGCAGCCTGAACCCATTCCCCCTCTTTAAATTACCACCTGCAACAGCCACCACTGGAATTCCAGGGCTTTTGAGGAACTAGTGATATGCTCCAAAGAGCAGCTCTGCCCAATCATGGAATCACGAGTCTGTCATGACTCAGAACCTCTCCCCCCTATCCTTTCCAAGTTCTCCTTTCACCAGAGGGCAGAGGAAACAAAAGGGACCAAGTGCATCAAAGCCCCCCTTTTGTACACATCTGGTAAAAACTCATTCTGGAGGTTTTCCTCAGGACAAGCCCAGAACCCTGGCTGACCATAAAGCTGGGCACGGAGGGGAGTCAGATTTTAGGCAAGAAACAAGTTTCTCAAAAACCGTAACCAGTAGAAATACTTTTTTTCAGGCTTTTGTATGGATGTTGGATTCCAAGTGCTTTCGAAAATCACACTACTGTACCATCTCTAAGTATTCAAACCACAGTCCAGACAGGTTAGATTAAAAAAAAAAATGAAAAAGAAATCACTTTACTATAGAAGTTCATAATTTCTCTGATGTTCTCTCAACATTCAAAATTTAAGCATCAACTTCTTTAAAATCACTGTAATGCATCAACTGTGCAGAAACAGCAACACAAAGTGGAATTAAAATACACTCTGATAGAAATTCCCAAAAAACTAGAGAATATTTGTAAACCAAAGAGACCTTTTTCAGCAAAGAAAGATTTCTCTGTCAACATAAAAATCCAATCCATCCCCGGGTTTGACTGAAGCAGATGCTGCAATAAACAAGGGAATGACTTTGATACAGAAACTGTTCTAAGCTTTTTTTCTTACATATTTTTGCACCAACGGACCTTAAAAGCCCCAGTGAACTTTATTTAAGTCCTTACCAGTTAACTTCTTCACAGGTTGGAGCCGAACACTGATAGACTGATGTGTGAGTAAGGGGGAGGATGGAAGGGAGCGGGACATGCCCTCCATTATCCGAATGTGCTGCATACCTTCGCTCACTGGGAGTGGTGGAATAGCGTAGTCAGGTTCAAAAGCACAGTCATTCTCTGTGGAGGTGCCTGATGGGGAGAGGAAAATAAAAATTAATTGGTTTGAATGCAAGGGAAAGAATTCTGTTTCCATCACTCCAAAGGGGCTGGCTGGAGGGAGCCCTGCACAGAGCTCACTTGCCAACGGCTCACTCCCTTTGCACACACTGACACACCCCTTGAAGAAACTCGAAAGAGCATCTCAGTACCCCTCTCTGTAAGATCAACAGCCCCTCTCTGTAAGATCAACAGCAGAACCATGAAGAATTTCTTTCAGTGTTCTTAATTTGTCTTTCAGAGTCTTAGAGTCACTGGTTTTCAATATAACGACCATAGTTTTTAGACTGTCAGTTTCTAATAAAAATCCTCCCAGCTAAATTAAATTTCAAGAGGAGGACCTTTAGCCTGAAAACATCTGCCAAACCCAAATAAAATGAAGAACAAATGCCTCTAAAAAACAGCCACCGGCTCCAACTCTTCCGAGAGACACACAAAACCCGTGTAGGGGTCGCATCACTACAGTGCCACAGTGAAATACATGGAATAGCATGAGAACAAGTGAAGATAGAACAATAAAAGGACTCGTTGCTAATTGTAAACAATATTAATGAACAGTGAAGGGAAGGTGATGCAGATCAGCAAGAGTCAGGAGCCATAGGGTTCCTCCTATTAGCTGCAGATATGGAAACCCTGGGGTCAAGGACACCTGGATCTCCATTCATCAATAATATGAACAACCTAACCCAGACAACTAATAATTCACATGCAAAATGAACCCAAACTATTAGCATTCATATTTCACTAATTTTTCATTAATATTTCAATAATGTGAGAAGGCCAGACCTGTGTCACACTGTTACAAGATGGATTTTTAGCTCCTATTGATGTTTTCCTCCATAAAGACATTCCTCACTGGATTTCCACTGGATAGCTGTGCTGTTCTCAGTGGCTTGTGAGAGTTTGTTTAAAAGAGAAAATGTTTGCTAGACAGAAAGGGAGACGGACTAGAGTGGGAATAAGACAGAAGAGTGAGCGCCTCAAATGCATGGTACTTCAGAGGAGGCAATGGACGAGCTGTATTCCCAATATCCGAAGTACAATGTGAACAACTCAAAATATGTGGAAAACCCCATATTGAAATAACTATCAAAAATCTTGGACCAGTTCCCGAAGGGTTCTAAAAGGCTGCAGCACCGGTGGCTAAAATTCATCCATTCCTGGTGCCAGCATTCAGGAATGTCTCTCAGCAGTTTTATATCGCTCTGTACATGAAAACCAAACAAGCACTGACGCCCTTCACACCTACACTGGTTCTGACAGTTTGAAACGCACCTCACTCTCAGCTTGCTCATCACTCACCAGTTACCATGAGCTCTCTGCAGGCTCTGCCAGCCTGGCCAGGCTCACCAGGAGTGTCAGGGAAGACAAACCACCATCACTGCCAAAACTAGCATCCAAAAAGCCAACCCATGATGGGTTTTCAGAATATATTTGGCACCACGCATGAAAAAAAAAGATTTGCCACCAGTGACTTTGATTCTTGAAAATAATTTCAATTGCCCCAGGCTAAATTTTAGGGAAGTATAAGCCATGGGCATCTCCTGTAGCTTAAAGTCTGGGAAAGACTTACAAGTCTACGTGCATTTCACTGGTTAGTATGGTGTAAGTTCCCAGTGTCTTTGATCAATCTACTTAAAATCAAAGGCAGTATCTTATATAGAAATTAAAATAATTATAGGTGGGCAAAGCTTTCCCTCCTAAAATTCAAATGCTTTACAACAAAACAGTGAACTCACAAAACATCCACAAGGTATTACCTTCATTCCACAGGTATCAAAATTTCTGTCTCCTCCTTGGCAGAGTAAATAAACACACAAACAAAACACCTGAAACAGTCTGAAATTTCTTCTCATCAGAGAGAATATTTGGCTTATCAAACCCTAGAATTAGGGCTCATTGATAGTTGAACTGGAACTTTAACTGTTTGCTTATATAACATATTTAAATAAAATATTTCTGCAACGTGCATATTTGAACAGATAAACTATTTCTTGGAGTTTTACAAGACTATCACAGAATCATTGAGGTTGGAAAGACCTTTAAAGATCATCAAGTCCAACCATCAAGCCAGCATCACCACTACATTCACCACTAAATCATGTCCTTAAGGCTGTTTCCTCTTGTCCTGCCAGTGAAGCTTTGAAGACACTTGAGCATCATACACAGTAACGTGGAAGGTCAGACAGCAGGAAGACAACTGCCCCTTTCCAGCTGCATGCTTTATCCAAGGATAATAAACTTCCTTAACCCATCACCATGAAAAATACCCATTAGCTCGTGCAGACAGATTTCAAGTGATGGACAAGAGCTGGGAAAAGTTAGAGATAATGCATCTATAGAGCAGAGAGACTTCTCCTTCCATGCTGCAGAAAGCCTGCCTCTACAATTGCATTTACTGATCCAAAAGGAAATATTTACCTCAGAAGCTTGTTGCTCCAAGAACTTGGAAGCTTTTTTACCTTTTCCCCTTCTATTCCCTCTCATGCTGAAACTTCTTGCTAGTTACTGCAGCTCCTTCAGTCACAGTCACCAAAGCAAAGAGGTACAGATTGGTGATTCTTGGGCAAGGATTTGCAAAGAAAAAAATCCCCTTTTACTCTGCCAAAACCCATGCTTTTCCCACAGCAGCAGAGATCCAGAATAGATGGGTTGAAAGGGAACCTGAGAGAACAAAATGTGTTCGGGTAGCTCCCAGCAGCAGCTGCATCTGAGCTGCTCTGTCCCATAACAGGAAACCATTTGACACAAGCCAAAGACAGGGAAGAACATGCCAGGGACCCACGGCAGAGCAAAGCTCAGCCTCTAGCACACAGTTACACAGCAACAACTTCATTTGAGCTCAGAATGGGAAAGAGCAGCCACTCTCTCTGAACGTCAAAGCACTGCTCCTTGTATGCAAGCTGACATGGGATATGTACAGCTATAAATACCCTGGTTCCTTCCTAATTTTTTTTTAAACAATAAATTTAAAAAAATAAATTTAAATGCAGTAATTGAAAGATCCTAAGTGAACAGAGCAGTTGACACTTCAGAGCTTCAACTACAAATGTCGATCCTCCTAATTTCGATCACAGCTTCAATGACTCAAAATCATCTCACCCAAGCAACACTGGAACACTGCCAAAAAAGGACAATTCCCTGGAGAAAATGTCCCCATAAGTCATTAGGACAGCATGACAACAACATGCTTGAGCCTAAATGAAAGGAAAATTATTGTTGCAATCCCAAAGGAGAATAAGTCAATGTGCATGGAACCTAGTAGAGCCCTACTTCCAAAAAATGCTGCTCAGTCTCAAAGCTGTGTGAGAATACAGCATTTTCACAACCTTCACAAATGAGAAAATGCTTAAAACTAAGTAAAGCTGTTTCAAAGGACACGTAAGCCTGCACAGATCTAAGACCTGCTGCTGTCAGGGACAGAAATGCCCATTACAGGGTTCTGTGTGGTGTTAATCAACCACCAAACCTACTCTGAGTGATGGATAATCAACAAAAGTCTGTTGGATAGTTATTTAAAGAACATAAACCCTGTTTTTAGCTCTTCCTTGGAACTTCTGTCCTCTTCCTGTGGGATGAAACAAACCAAAGCAGAAGATGTAACATGGGACTGTTCAGCCCCCAGACAGGTGAACACAGTTCCTTCTGCACTGCATCCCAGAGCTTAAGGAAGGATAACCTGGCTATGGTGAACCTGCCAGGTTCCCCCTGTGACATCAGGGGAAGGCAAGCAGAAACTTGGAAACCAAATGTTGGTTTGGGCTGGTATGTACTGAAGAATTCCAGCACCACCAGCTCCAACAGCAGAACACTCTGCACCTCTGGCTGCAGCACAGAGATACCCTGCTCTGCAGGTCCACCTGTGCTGCACCAGGAATTAGGTTAAACGCCTTCAACCACTCTGGTTTGTGAATCTCAGTACATTGGCAGCTGTGTGAGTAATAACAATGGGTACAAAGTCTGCCAGGTCACACAGCTTGAGGAGAAACACAACACCTGGGAGGTATGAAAGGTGAACAAATGAGACGAGTCCCCGAGGCAGAACAACACTCAGGTTTTACCTTGCCCGGCTCGGCTCTGACGGGAGTCTACACTTGCCTGTCTTCGGTCTGGTGGCTCCTCGTTCCCTCCATCTGCATGAGAACCAAAACAGCACAAGTAGAACATCATAGTGGACAGGTCAGGCAGATGCAACTTTTCCTTGAGTCCCATCACCTATCTCGGGCCAACAGCAGGACAAAAGGTCCCTCTGGCAGACTGAAACTGGGGAAACTGCTGCTTGACTCTGCTGCTCCTTCCACCTTCGCCCCAGTTCACTGCAATGAAATCCATGAGGTCCTCGGGATAGAAGGAAGGTTTTACTTGTTCCTATTGATCCCACAGACATCTGAATGAGATAAAAACCAAATTGTGCATCTTCAAAGAGTTCCTTCACTTTGGACTGTTATATAAAAAAAAAATAAATGAAAAAATTAAACATTGGAATAAATAGATCTAGAAAAATAATTTGAAATATGAAATTAGAAATGGTGTCCCTTTAAAATTACTTGTCTGCTAAAACCCAGGAAGGCTGGGAAGAACAAAACCTCTTATTACATCCTCTTGAAACTGTTAGGAAAGCAGCTACAGTCAACAAATCCCAAATCTATCTGGGGAAACTCAAAGTGGGACATTGTGTACAGTATTATACAATTAATTACAGGCTGCTCTTCATTGATCAACTGACCAGATTAGAAACAATAGATACACCCATCAATACAGATGCTTGAGTACATGGAGTCTCTGGCACCTGAGAGCAAAAAGAAGCCCAGCTCTGGAGACTGGGAAAAAGTAAACCCAGGGATTTCAAATGCGGGCTGTATTTCAGAAGTTCTTAGCCCTTCTAGCAGGGGAAGGGGAAGCTTTTAAAATCTCTAAAAACAGTTTTGAAATCACTGACTTCTTAAATAGGTGTTTAAAAACTCAATAGTCTCTTTGGCATTGATGTGTTTTGATGATACTAAAAGCAACTGCATTTTGATATATTTGTATCTCTGGATAGCTCTATAGAAGTTATTTGTTGGAGGGGCCGGTTATAATTTAACTTTATCAACTCCTGCTACAGGGGAGCTATGTCTGGCTTGATGGGAAGTTGTGAACTGCAGCACAAGAGCAGAACTAAAATGTGGACTAAATATTTCGGTCCACCCCTACCCCCAAAAAGAGAGGAACCACAGCCCGGGCTGGGAGAGGTTTTCTGTTCCCTCTCCCCTTGCTGAAACGCTCCCAGCCCTCAGTTTTCCTGAAGCAATGCTCAGGAAACCTTGAACACATGTCAGGCAGGCCATTTCTGTCACCTTTGCATCTTTCCCTGCTGACACAGCAGCTGCATGTGAAGGTCATCTGGCTACAGCAGCTCAGAATCCTGATTTTAAATGAGCTGCACCCGCCCCGATAAGCCATCAGTTGCCAGGTGCCAGGGAGGCCACATACCATGATACTTGTTCAGTTCCCTTTTACATTCTGGTTGCCAGAAGGACGTCACACTGTGAATACAACTGCAACTGGGATATGTCCATAGGAGCTTTTATTAGCCCGGAGATGCCCTCTTGGAATTAGCTGTGCTGAACCCTCCTACAGTCAAGAGCACTAAAAAAGCCCTGACTGTATTTTTGCTAGTAACACCCAGTGGTGGTTTGGCCATTGCTGTTGCACATGGATATCATTATCACCATCATCTTCATCATCATCCCTAATGGCCCCTGCTTGTGAGCCCCCAGAGACAACCTCTATCTAAGTCATGGAGAAAACAAAAACCCTTTAGAGCTGCGAATAATAAATCCAAATCCAAAATAATTTTAAGGACTAAACATTTCAAAAGACAAGAAATTTCCAGTATTAAAATTAGGAGTAAACCCCTGTATTTATCCAAAGACACATGATCATCAGCAAAAGACAAACTTCCTCCCTGAAAGTTTCATCATTCTTGCAAGTTTTTGACACCAAGGTACATAGGGCTCGGTGGGTGGAACTGGATGAGATTTCAGGTCCCTTCCAACCCAACCCATCCTGAGATCTCTGATGATTCTGAATCAACCTCCTTGATCCTGTGGAAAGGCAACACCTCTGCTGGACAGTTACCCAGGTGTATCAAACTGTGCCTTGAGAACAAGCCATGGCAAAGGGAGGGGCTGGGGGGGCTGCAGATCTGGGGTCCTGCTCCCCACAATGCTCCAACACTCAATGGTGGGACACAAAACAGTGACAACAGGCTGCCAAAGCCATTGGGTTGGACAAGAGGAACAGGAGTCAGGAGTCTGGGATGGATCTCCCTGCAAGTTATACAAGATATTAAGGGGGAAAGAAAGCTCACAGCAAATTAATTTCCAAAATGCATTTAGCGGGTGGGAAAGGAAAAAATAAATCAGATGACTCAGCAGATATTAAATCTTCAGTCAGCATACAACCGCTGCTGCATTTGATATTGGCTGCAGCACAGGTGGAGCTTGGGGGAAAATGAGGATGGAAAGGAACAGCCACAGTTAAGAGCTGAGTAACTGAACTATTTAATTCTTTTTCTCTCCACTACAAATCAAAACGTTGAGCACAATCTGCTCCCAGCAGTGGAGGAGCACGGTTAGCAGGGAACAATACCACATGTAATTATGAAGTTATCTCACTGTACATGCAAAAAAGGGGAGATTACTGTTTCATTTTTTTGAACTTCCAAGTGCTTTTATTTACATTCACCTCTCTGTGCGCACTGGGACTCTGTCACTGCAGAAACAATCCTAATTATTTTATTTATGCGTGATTTTAGGTAGTTTTTAGTATTTGCTTTAGCAATAGCTATTGTTTATAGACATGACCTACTATTCAGACAAAATTTGCAGATCACTCCTGAAGTTCAATCCACTCAGTTGCTGAAACGACTGCCAGTGTGGTGAAACACCAAAGTTATTGACAAATCCTTCAATGCAGCAGCTAAAATAGGTCACCAGAAGTAAATCAGTTGTGAAATCATTGCTAGAGAATACAGCTATCTGTGTTAATTTAAAATAAAGTTCAGCACAGACTGAGATGAACCTGTTTAATGAGCTTTACAGTTGTCATGCAAAAGAGAAAATAGTCAAATGCCACAAGGGAAGTGAATAATAAATATTGTAAATATTGACTCAGTAATTCATATTCTCTTGCATCTTATTTGAAAGGTAGAAAAGCTTCTGTGATCTTTTAAAAAATCTCAGTGTTAAGAAAATCCATTAACTGTTGCACATTATTTTAGTTTTTGAAAGCTGCTGTCTCATCAGTGTCCAGCATCTGTCCATCTGGGATGCTGGACACAGGTCAGAAACCCGACAAGGCTTCTGAGTGCCTGATTCTGTGGCAAGAACAGAGTAAACAGCCACGGCTATTAACTCTTTCTCTCAGTTACAAAGAGATGAAGGGATCTCAAAGATTGTGATTAGTCACAGGATCAGCAGAGCAGCCTCTCCTGCTGTAGCCAGGTCTGAGAAACACTCCTGCTTCCTCTTCTCCCCTCATCCCCATTCCACCAATTCTATTAAAACCAATGACACAACAAATCCTCCCCAATACACACAACTGGATTCTTTGAACTGACTGCTCGGACAGGGAAAGAAAATCTCGAGGTTTCAGCATTCCTAAACAAATACCCTGCACAAAGCACCACAATCCTGCAAACAGGAGCCGCACATCTGATGTCAGTAAATCCCACAGCACCTCTGGCATCACCTCCTGCCAGGTATTCTCCTTAAAGGAAACATAACAAGTTTCATACAAAATCAAGTGCCAGCAGCCCAATATTTCTAGTTTCCTATTTAATTAAAAGGCCTTTAAAACCCACACTGTGACTAAGCGTCTCTCAAGATATCTGATCTGACAAAGCAATTTTTAAGGCAGAAGAATCCAAGGGTGGGTGAGGCTGCTGCACGCACGCTGGGGAATCTGCGGCAGGAGCCGACTGCATCGGGTGTGCTGCTGCTCTCCCAGCAACTGTAAGAGCTGATATATCAATAGTATAAAGCCATATCGTATCAAAACCGTATCTGGAAAAGGTGGAAGACTCACACAAAGCCAGTCAAGCTGTTAGGGATGGATCCGATTCCAGCCCAGCCCAGCATCCCTGCAGAAGCATCCCTGTGTGCACAGCACAGCATCTGGAGATGTGGCTCCCAATTGCCATTGTGCTCCCAAAACAGAAACGCAGGGGAAAAACCCCTCAGAATAAATAAATCAAACAGCTCCAGGGGCTAGAGCCCACCAGGAGGATCCTGGAACTGCCGGCACTGCCACTGCAGGAGCCGATGCTGAGTCCGACCCCGGAACCCGCCGCAGCGGCGCGGTGTGGGAGAGGGAGCTGCAAATCTTGTTCTCAGCATTCCCGGCGGATTCCAGCCTGGTAAGAAATGACACGTGCCACATGAGCTGCCTGTTGCTCTCCCACGGTGAGATGTGCCTGGAAAGGGGCAAAGTGCTCCCCAGCCAGAGCAAGAGAGAAGAGGGAGCCCAGTCTAGTACTGAAAACAATTATTTTAATCAAAAGTCCGTCCTGGTTATTTAGTTTGTGAGTATTTTTCTGCCTCGGAAAACAATATGCACCACCATCACAAATTACTATTATGCTACGATTAATTATATTATAAAACTATTATTATTATTGTTGTTGTTGTTGCTATAAAATTAGTATTGTTGTAAAAATCGGTGTTATGGTTAAAAATAGCATTGTTGCAGTGTTATGATTAAAATCAGTATGATACGAATTTTTATGATAACTAAAAATGTTAAGAGAACTGCATTAAATTACTAATAGAATAAAACATCAACCCCCATGAAAATAACTCCCTGGTCTCCCTGGTGGGAGTGTCAGGGTGCAGGGGAGGGATACAGGAATGGTTGTGGGTGTTGAGGGAGGAATACTTTTACTGATGGAACTATAGCACAGACCTGTGCTGGTTATTAATCACCATATCATTAAAATCCAGCTCCCCAATCACTTTCCAACATGTTGAATCCCTTAGCACAGAATCATTAAGGTTGGAAAAGACCTCCCATATCATCAAGTCCAACCTGTGACTGATCCCATCTTTTTAATAGACCAGAGCACTGAGTGCCACATCCCATCGTTCCTCAG